ATGGTATAAAGGTTTTAATGTTGTGTATAAACTATATTTATTTTTACTTGTACATGTTAAATAAATAAATAATAATAATAAAAATAAAACTGTAATACTAAACTGAAGCCTCTAGATGTCTGCATTACCTTTTATATAAATATACGGCCTGTAATATCTAGATGGTGAAACAAGACACGATTTTTAAGTTTCAAATAGTTTTTACTATAGTTTTTATTAGTTTTAATTTTATCATAAAGTCAGTTAAATAAACGTACTTAGATATTGCTTTTATTTACATATGTAACGTGAAGTAATCCAAAAGTAATCAGATTACATTACTTTTATATCGTGGTACTTGGATTACGTTACTGAATACTTTTTTAATGAAGTAATTTGTAACTGTAACAGAATACATGTTAAAAGTAACCCTCCCAACCCTGGTGGTAACTGTCATTGACGGGCTTTGTGACTCACTCTTGTTTACTTACAGTCAACTTTTGCATATCTGCTTTGGTCAAAAGCGCATGTGCGAGCGCCAGTGAAAAGTCCTGTGGAATATAAAAAATAAGTTATTTCGGTTTTAACAATTGTTTTGAGAAACAAAATCAATGTAAGTTTGGCAGTTCTTTTTATCTTATTCTAAAAAACATTTATGTTGAGATTCAAAAGATTTAATAGATTGCATTTGATGCCCTGTGATATGGTAAGGCTGCGAGTGTTTTAACTTTGAAAAAACAGTTGCCAAGTCCTCATGTGATCCAACAAATGTTTCATAGCTACTGATGCTGGTAACGCTGCTCCCTGAGGGCGAGTTGCCCTGTCTGCGGCTGCCTGGGGAGATGCTGATGATTTCATGTGATCTCTAAAGTCTACATTCATGAAAACAGAACAGAGAACAAAGATCCATGACTACATAAGGGAAATCACATGACCACCTATTAAAATAATTTCCCCTTCAAGTGATCCCATTTAGAGTAATTTTCGATTATTTGAGTGGGAGGAAGCCTACAGTAAACTCAGTGAGAAATGTGAGCGGCTCATTCAGGTCAGTTCAAATCTATTTAAAGACTACTGCTATATGCTTTTTTCATATTGGAATACAAAAAAAAAAAAAAAAACTCTTGCAA